GGTGCTCCTAATGTGACTGTGACCTCTTCAGACTGGTCAGGAGAGTCCCTCCTGGATCAAACTGGTCCACTAGCAAGGAGTCATTTTTTCCCAACACAGGCCAGCATACCTCTGCCTCCAAGGGAATCAGTGTATGCCCATGAGTCCAAAGCACACAGAATAAACAATGGTAAACCCTCCCTTATGAATGTTAATTTCATTACAATCCCTGAAAGGTCAAATGAAATGGAAAAAACAAGCCAGGCAGTGGTGTTGAATACTTCTAATCTCAGCACTCAGGAGGCAGAGGGAGGTGGACCTGTGTGAGTTTGAGGCCAGTTTGGTCTACAGAGTTCCAGGGCAGCCAGTACTACATAGAGATCCTGTTTCAAAAAACAAAACAAACAACCCATTCAGGGATGGGACATGGAGACAAATTTAATAGCTGTACCTATTAAAGGCTTTAAGTCAATCCTTATTGAAAACAGAAAACACCCTTAGCTCCAGACAGTGATACTTTGTGTGTGTGTGTGTGTGTGTGTGAGAGAGAGAGAGAGAGAGAGAGAGAGAGAGAGAGAGAGAGAGAGAGAGAGAGAGAGAGAGAGAGAGAGAGAGAGACCCTGTTACTAACATCCTGTTGAGACATACTCCAAGCTTGGGTAGGGTGGGGTGGTAGCACCTTCTTCAGCTCCAGAGGGACAGGAGTGGCTATGGTACCTTAATGGCATCTCATGGGGAGATGTGGCTCTTGCAGTCACCAACAGCTGGAATAAAGCCAGATGGGCAGAGGGCTTCCCACTATCCTGATCTTCTTTTGTTGTGTTTTGAGACAAGGTCTGTCCAAATAGCCCTGGATGCCCTGGAACTTACTCTGTAGACCACGCTGGTCTCAAACTCAAGAGACTCACCTGCCTCTGCCTCTGCCTCCCGAGTGTTGGGATTAAAGGCCTGTGCGGACACCACCACTGGCTCCATTCTGGCTTTTTGCCATGGTTTCAGTAAACAATCCAAGAACTGACTAAAGACAGCACCCAGCCAATGCTGGACAGAGAAGGATGTGTCTCTTTGCTGAGACTAAGTCATGCTCCTTCCTGCTGATGGGCCAGTCTCAGGGTGGGGGCTGGGGTGGCTGGGAGATGCTGTACTCGATCCAAGCAACCGATGGCAGCCTTGCATTTCTCTTCCTCAAACATGCAGGGATTAGCTTACCAATTCAGCTTGCCCAATGTTGATCATGATTATACATCTACAGTACACTCGCCTAACGGCACTGGGCAAACTGAGTTCTCCTGAAGGGGCCTGTAGTGGTTTGAAAGAATGGCCCCCAAGGGGAGTGGCACTATTAAGAGGCTCGACCTTGCTGGGGGAGGTGTGTCACTGTGGAGGTGGACTTTGAGGTCTCATATATGCTCAAGATATCGCCCAGTGTCTCAGATCATTTCCTATTGCCTATGGCACCTCCAGCACCATGTCTGCCTGTCTGCTGCAATGACCCACCACGATAATGGATCGAACCTCTGAATTATAAGCAAGCTACCACCATTATTTTTATTGTTTTTTTGTTTTTTTTTCCCCCCCGAGACAGGGTTTCTCTGTGGCTTTGGAGCCTGTCCTGGAACTCACTCTGTAGACCAGGCTGGCCTCGAACTCAGAGATCCACCTGCCTCTGTCTCCCAAGTGCTGGGATTAAGGGTGTGCACCACCACTGCCCGCCCAAATGTTTTCTTTTTAATAAGAGTTGCTGTGGTTCATACTGTCTCTTCACAGCAATAGAAACCCTAAGACAGGGCCCACCTTATTTCATTGTTCCGTCTGAGACATTGTGAGAGCTTCAAACTTACTTCCTGTGCTGACAAGCAGCACGACTGATCACTCTTCTCACTTAAAAGCAGCACGGCTGATCACTCTTCTCACTTAAAAGCAGCACGACTGACCACTCTTCTCACTTAAAACCGCTCCCCTTCCCATCCCACACGCTTGCTTCCTCCCCATCGATGGCCTGCTCTAGGCCCTCACCCAACCCCTCGCACTGTTCCAAGGTCCCTCACCGTCACCGAGAGGCCTGGTGGGCCTGTCCATGCTGTGTCCTTGTACAGCCTTCCCCTCTGCGCCTGTTGCCCCACTGGGGGGTACAAGTCGGGAGGCTCCGTGGGCTCTTGGGCCATGGACCCATGAGAGGTTGGCATACAGCGGTCACAGGCAGAAACTCGCACTAACAAAAGGTTCCCTCTCAACTTCATGAAGTAGAACCCGGTCACAGCACACAGAAGCTTCTATCTAATCATTATCAATAAAAACCCGGGAGTCAGATATCGGGATAAGGTCCTGAGCGATCAGTGTAGTGAAGAAACAACCAGTGACCTCTCTCTCGTTCCTTGACCCAAAAAAGAGCCAAGACCCTCTCTAAGCCCCATCCTACCACTTCCCGTGTCTCTCTGTTCTTAGTCCTCCAAAACCTCTATGGTTAATTTTGGTCAGCTAGTAGTTAGCTCCATCCTCTGATTCAAAACAACTTTATTGGCGGCCTAGGGAACGTCAGAATCCAATCAAAACATCAGAGAACAGCACACCACCGGGGAAAATGTGTTCAGAACGCCATAGTGTACTTGTGCGGAGAATGTTGGAGAACATTCCCACCTGATGCTTGTTGGCTTTCTCATGACGCCCAGTGATGTCGTGGACAGTTATGAGGGAAGGGCGGGCCAGGACCAGGAGGCCCAGCAGCTTTCCTGAGGGGACACTAGCCAGAACAGAAACCCACACGTGACTGAGGCCCTGCTGTGGGTGTCAGGGCTTTTATCATCTGGCTAACTGACGAAAGGCTGCCCCGAAAGCCTTTCTCCTGGAGAGCAGTGGTTCTCAGCCCTCCTAATGCCGCTAACCCAGTCCCTCCATGTTGTGGTAATCCCTGACCATAATAAAATTATCCTGTTGCTACTTCAGAACTATAATTCTGTTACTGTTATGAATCATAATGTAAATATCTGTGTTTTCCAACTATGAAAGAGCTATTTGACAACAACCCCCCCCCTCCTTCCAGGTCAGGGCCCACGGGTTGAGAACTGCTGGTCTACAGGCAGCCACCAGCAGAGCTGCTGAAATAAAGATGAAGCCAGGGCAGAGTGCGTGGAAGCTGATGAGAGCTCTGAAGGGATGGACTCACTGACCACCAGACATGACGAATGTTGTTCGGAACACAAGTAAAAATGACCTGTGTGGGAGGGTGGGCCGGTGATTTTGCTGACTTGGGCACCACGGAAGAAAGTGGTCAGCTGCATTCCCGACAGATCCATCCCTAAGGAACAAGCCAGCAGGGTCCTCCTGCCTGGCCCAGCCTCGGGGCTTCCCTGTTCCTCAGAGCTCTCTCTGTCTCTTGGAGCAGGATGGTGTCATGCTCAAAGCTCAGAGTCAGATTTAGCCCCAACTACTGAGTGAGTGACATGCAGATGCAGTTTAAGCACTCTGAAGACCTGAGGAAGGGTGGTCCCTGCAGTTATTTATATGAGGATCACCTCCTAATCATCCAGTCCAGGAGGTCTTCCTAACTAAGCTCTACATCTCACAATGCATGAATAATCTGAGCAATTTCTTGTGTATCTGCATATATGCTAGGTACTGTTCTGAGTATATTCTGAGAAAATAAAAAGGTACAAATCTGAGCTTACCAGGTTAATCAGAAAATATCTTAGTGCCAGGCATTGGCACATGCCTGTAATCCCAGGCGTGGCGAGGTGGAGGCTGGAAGACCAGGAGTTCAAGGCCATTCTTGGCTATATAGAAAGTTCTAGGCTAGCCTGGGATTCACAAGATCCTGTCTCAAAGAATAAAACAATCCACCTATGGAAAAGTGCTACCAGAATGAATATGTTATGAAACAGTCACGAAGATAAATAAAGCAACTTCTGGAGATTAAAAAAAGCAGAAAGAACCCAAAAGCTATCTCAAAATGACTTAACTGCATTTGGAAATATTCAGTGGCTTGAAAAGACCAGGGCAATTAGTTCCAGGAAGACCATGGCTGGAGAGCTTTGCCTGTGGGCCCCTCAAAGAGAGAGTACTTAACAAAGGCACAGAGATCAGCTTATAGTCAAACATGGGAAACACCCAAATTTCCCACTAATTAAGAACAAGGTGCCAGGTGGTGGTGAAGGCAGCAACGCACGCCTTTAATCCCAGCACTAGGGAGGCAGAGGCAGTGGACCTTTGTGAGTTCAAGGCCAGCCTGGTCTATAGTTTCAGGACAGCCAGGGCTACACAGAGAAACCCTGTCTTGAAAAACAAGCATATAAACAAAAGAACAAGGTATTTTCTGCCACAGAAGGAGTCCCGTCTGCCCCCAGCAACTGTGGCATGTGTGGAACCGGCTAGGCTCACAGGATAGAAAAGTCCCTGAGGCAAATTATAGATATTTCAGAGCCATCTGCGCCTTGCCTCAACAGTCTAGAGCCACAGTTTAACTGATAACCAGAATTCTGATCTTTAGTAAAGGTCGGGATATAACTCGGTGGTAGAAAGCCCGTAATGTGTATGAGGAGGTCCTGAGTTCTATCCCAGGGCCCCCCACATAAAAAAAAAAAAAACCCTAAATATCAAAACCAAACTCCATTGTTTAAAAAGATGTAACTTTCCTAAAAGATTTTGCTTATAAAGTTTGCCAAAACATTTTTTAGTATTGTCTTTCAGTTTCTCTTTTCCCCCCTTTCAAATTCATATAGGCTTCAATGAAGGTTCTGTATACATACACCATTTTAATTTATACAGCACACTTATTCTCTGAAGGTTCACTAAAGGCAGTATAAAAAAATGGAAGATGATCTATATGCGCAATTAAATCCAGCCTGTAGATCAGGGGACTGATATTCAGGGGAAATGTTTTCAGTGTTGCCATGGCTGGGGTGCCAGACATCTAAACCGAGCAACGGCAAACGACCTGTGGGGTGACGTCAGTAACAGCCTTGCCTGCACAGCGTGGGGGTTCAGGAAGCCTGAGAGCCAGAGGCTGGAGGGGAACAGAAAGCAGACCGCTTTAACTCCGATTTATTGCGTTGTGTATTACCGTGGGCAGGGGAGGCCCCAGAGCAAACTCCAAAGCTTTATTACCTGAGATTTACACTCCGGAAAAACAATCAAGACTGAGTGACTAATACACACCTCACAAGATATTTGGGTTTGGCTTTGATGAAAGGACATGTACCGACCTGGAAAAGGCTACATGAGATTACAGAGAAATCAGCTCAGCACCGAGTCCCAGCAAGAGCTGCGGGAGACTTTTGTCGCCAAGCCCTCGCCACGGGGACAGCTCTTTCCCAGGGAGCTGCTGAATTTCAGCCTGAGCCCCAGTCTGTGGGTGGCTCACTTCTCATCATCCCGTCCGTAGTTAATAGTCTGTAAGGCCTGAGCTATGAGCGCCGCCATCTCTCTGGTACCAGCAGCGACGACTCTACAAGACATGAGGTCAAGGGGTCCACCTGTGGACAGAATGGAGAGCAGACATCTGAGTTATGGAAGCCTGCACAACAGTGTTGTACAGCAACTTCTTACAGATGTGTGTGTGCAGAGAAAAAACAGCTCACAGGCCTGAGGTGGAGTCCCAGGGCTGGTATCCACCAAGAAGCCAAGGAATGAACCTGGCTGTGTGGAAGCCATGGTGACTCTTGCTACCTATTCTGCCCTGGTGGGAATGCGGCCAAGGCTGCCCCATTTCACAGAACCATCTTTGAAACGCAAAACTAGGTGAGACCAGGATGGGAGTGGATGGTCCTGTACCTCACCGCACAGCAGGCTGCTGTGGCTGAGCGGTGAAGCGCTTCCCTGACTCAGTAGATCTGGAAGGACCAAGCCCAACTTCCCCAATGCTCCGTGACCCTGGGAGCACAGTGTGGGAAACATCACACCCGGTGATGCAGACACAGGCTCAGGCCTGAAGGTGCTCAAGTGATAAACCCCAGAGTGTGAGATGCTTCTTAGTGTGAGACTGTCCTGTTCCGTTCGCTGCCAAAGGCCAGTCAGCTTCGCGTTTATACACTTCAAGGAGACTCAAACCTCTCAGCGGACAAACAGGATGAAGGTGGAAGCCAGACTACAGGAGACCCACTTTCTAAGCCCGATAGTTAAAAGCAGCCCACAGCATTTTTGCTAACAAACGAAATGGGTCTAACAAGATTTGCCAGAACTCGGGGGAGGGGGCTTCGGGCACTAAGTGGTTGAGCAGAGATGCTCATGGGGCTCGGGTACGCTCTATAGGGGAGGACCAGTGACTGGGACTTGATGGTAGAAAGCAGGACAGAACAACTCTAGATACTGGGCTGGCCCAGCTCTGGGCTACAGCTCTTGGGGAAGTGTCTGCTCCATGGACCAACTGGACTGTTGTGGAAGTGTGAACGTGGGATGCTACCACTTGTGCTACTAGCCAAGCGGCCTTCACTGATGTGTGAGGAAGGGCAGGACCAAAGCCCTCTGTGGTTGGCCACTGCTGGCCATGCGCCCTGTGAGGTCTCACCTGCAGGGGTCAGAGGAAGGTGGAGGGATCCGAGGTGGTGGGGACCTCGGGCATGCTCTATCCAGCGTCACCTGCGAGGGTCTGCTACTGGGTGGAGAGAGGGCGGCCAGGGGCCAGAGAGCTCACCTGAGGTGTCTATCACAGTGCCACCTGCTTCTCTAATGATGACTGTGGCAGCAGCCAGGTCCCAGCAGTGAAGGCCAAACTGATAATAGGCATCGGCGGCGCCCGAGGCCAGGTAGCAGAGCGCCAAGGTGGAGCTTCCAATCACTCGGACCCTGGAGGGCAGGGACGGGCGGGTGAGAGAGGGGGCACCTGCCGCGGCATGACTGACGCCATCCCATCACCCCTTGCTAGGGATTCTGCCAGCAAGCTCGGGACACAGAGTGCAGGCCTGGAGTGAGGCTGGTCACCAACGCAGCCAGGGCCTGAAGTTCTCACTCTACTCAACATTAGAAGGTTACATGTAGGGCCTTCACGGGGCTGATGGTTACCACACAGATGAGGGGGAGTGACAAGGATGAAGTAATTTCGACTTAAGCACATGTGAAAAATAAATAACCAACAGTTTATCGAGCAGGTATGTCCCACTGGTGGCCCATAGGCCATATTTGTCTTAGCTTAGGTACAAATGTGACCCAGCCTGTTTATAAATGCAACTCCATAACGGAACATCAAATGGCTGGACACTGTGGTGCAGTGAGTGAGAATGGCCTCCCTAGGTACTTATGGCACATACATTTCAGAGCTTGGTCCCCAGTCGGTGGAACTATTTGGAAAAGATTGGGAGGTGTGGCCTTGCCGGCGGAAGTGCTGTCACCAGGGGTGGGCTTTGAGGTTTCAAAAGCTCGCCCACACCACTTCTTCCCAGTTATCTCTCTTTCCCTGTGGTGGTTGTCTCAAGAGGTAAGACCCCAGCTACTGCTCCAGCACCATGGCTGTCTGCTGCCATGCTCTAACCGTGATGGCCATGGACTCTCCCCCTCTGAGACTGTGAGCCCCCAATAAGGCCTTCCGTAAGTTGCCTTGGTCATAGTACCTGATCATGGCAATAGAAAAGTAACTTTGGATACCCCTGGCCCAAAGGGAAGTCACTGAGAAGCTCTAAAGACCCATAAGACTCATTGGTTGAGGGACCCAAGCTTAGTCAGTTGGCTCTCAAACACAGACTAGAAGGACACAGGACCCATCCGTTTCCTGACACCTGGCAGCCAGAATGTTCCGTGGATGACGGTGCGTGCTGTGCCTCTCTGAGCCTGATGTCAGCAACCTCCTGTCCTACCTCTCTCGGTGCCTCCTCTTCACATCCCTTGGGAGCGCTTAGCCAAAAGCACATTTGGTTTTCAACCCACTGGCTACGGGACTGAGGACCTGTACCCATGAGCCTTGGCATGCAGCAGCCGCTCCATGTTGCTCAGGAATACTTTCAGAGTATCGGGGTCACGTTTGGGCCCAATTTCTGTCAGAACCAAGGCCTTCGAGAGATCTGCAAGAAAGAACTTCCCGTCAACACAAACACCGAGTCTAGGTTCAGATGGGAGTCATCTGGGCTCCCTCAAGAATGGCTGATTCCACGCATCTTTCTGCTGTGATGGGCAGAGGGTGAAACTAACCTGTTCTAATTCAAGCTGCCACTACCTTGCAGAGCTGAGTGTGTAGAAGTGACTGCCCAGGAGCACTCCCCAGCCGCCTCTCAGGGACACCCCACTGTGCAGAGGCGCAGGGACCTCAGGGGAACCCAGGGGCTTGTAAAGACCACAAAGCAACAGCTAAGGAAAATAAATACTAACAATTATAATTCAAGAGTACTTTCGTGAAGTAGAAAGAGAACCATGTCCCCAGGAGAAATGACTCAGCTCTGTAGTCTACCTCAGTAAAATTATTGTAGTCTAGAGACAAAACAAAAAACAAAACCACCCCCCCCCACAAAAACCCTCTAAAACAACAAAACATCAACAAAGTGCAAACAGGAAAAAAAAAAAAAAAAAAACAAAGTCCCTTACAAGCAGAAGAAAATTAAACTGTCACCAAATATGGCAGCACTTCTGTAACCCCAGCACTGTCACCGGGTGTGGTGGCACTTCTGTAACCTCAGCATTCAGAAGAGAGAGGCAGGAAGGCTGAGTTTAAGGCCAGGCTGGGTTACATAGTGGGACCCTGTCTTACAAAGACATCCACTTTTTTTCTTTTCTTTTTTTTTCTTTTTCGAGACAGGGTTTCTCTGTGGCTTTGGAGGCTGTCCTGGAACTCGCTCTGTAGACCAGGCTGGCCTCGAACTCACAGAGATCCGCCTGCCTCTGCCTCCCGAGTGCTGGGATTAAAGGCGTGCACCACCAACGCCCGGCCCACTTTTGAACTGTTGACTTTTGCCACCACTGCCTGCCAGCACACAATTGGGGGCATTTTAGATGTTCAACACAGAAGAGGCAAGCCTTTGATTTTATTGCTAGAAAAACAAACTTACAAGTAAAAGGCCAATGCTAAGCTGTAATGAACACAAGGAAGTCACTTGACACTGTTCTCATGAACCCATCCTGAGGGGTCAATGAGGACTTGACTCTCAAAGTGCCGTTCCCACCGCTCTCCATCAGCACGCCCCCCACTGAATCTGGGTACCGCTGTCCTCTTCACCATGCTGCCTAGTGCGGAGGCTCAGCTGACAGCAGTAAGCATGGGAGGTGAGTGTCCCCACCAAAGCAGCCCATGGCCTCACGGTCCCCGCTGATGCTAATAGGAATGAAGTTTTCCGGCCACACACAGTAGGAAGACAGGCATGCGCCCTTCACAATTCTGAAGCTGTGACTATTATCAAGTGCATTAAACCCTGAACTGTAATCTTTTTAGTAAGGAGACAAGCAGCCAGAGGATTTTTAAGATTGAAAAGAAATATTTATTTATTTTTTTGGTTTTCTTTTTTTTTTTCGAGACAGGGTTTCTCTGTGGCTTTGGAGGCTGTCCTGGAACTACCTCGGTAGTCCAGGCTGGCCTCAAACTCACAGAGATCCGCCTGCCTCTGCCTCCCAAGTGCTGGGATTAAAGGCGTGCGCTACCAACGCCCAGCAAGAAATATTTATTTATTTCCATGTCATTTGCATTGGTGTTTTGCCTGCATGGATGAGGGCATCAGATCCCCTAAAACTGGAGTGACAATTGTGAGCTGCCAAGTGGGTGCTGGGAATTAAACCTGGGTACATTGGAAGAGCAGTCAGTGATCTTAACTACTGAGCCATCTCTCCAGCCCCAATAAGGACATGGGTTTTTTTAGGTGGGAGGTATTCTCGAGACAGGGTTTCTCTGTGTAGCTCTGGCTGTACTGGAATTCACTCTGTAGAACAGGTTGGCCTTGAACTCAAGAGATCTGCATGCCTCTTCCTCCCTAGTGGAATGGTGGGATTAAAGGAGTGGGCCTCCATACCCAACTGCCAGAGGATTTTGAAAAACTTAAATTATTATGACTTGAGAATTTGGAAATGAAAGAGGAAAAGTGAGCCCATCAATTACCAACATCACCAGATATAAAGTCAAGTGGAGTTTGGGATTTGGGAGAACTTGTGTCAGGGTGGTTGTACATGCCTGTGATCCAGCAGCAAGCCCTAAGGAGCCACAGGAGGGAGGGCTGCTGCTAGTTCAAGGCAGGTCTGGTCTACATCAGTGACAGCCCGTTTCAAACATCGAAACAAGGAAGAGAACTTGGGAAAACGTGTGTCTTCCCCAACAGTTAAAGACTTCAGACCTCCTGCTGCACCTACCTACCAAGTGCTGGATTACAGGCCCCGCCCCACCACACCCCTGCTACCTACAATCACAGCTTTCAAAAAAAGGCAGGTATGTATGTACCTCCCATGCTTACTGCTGTCAGCTGAGCCTCCGCACTAGGCAGCATGGTGAAGAGGACAGTATGTAGCTCTGGCAATCCTATAATTTGCCATGCAGGCCTTGAACTCACAGAGATCCATCTGCTTCTGCCTTCCGTCCCCCACCCCCCATTAAAGTCCTCTGAGATCATGCCCTGCCTCTACAGCTCACTATCGTCCCCCTGCAGCTGCTTTTGAACATGAGTTCTGAGAGGTCACCTAATCCGCTCTACGCATGGCCTCAGGTGTCAGAATGGGGACCTGAATCCAGTCTGCCTGCTGTCTGGAACACTGACATCTGTGACCAGAGCTGAAAACAGCACACTGGATTTCAAGTCACAAATGGCAGCTCTGGCGAGGTGAGGATACCGTGGCAATGTGCAGCAGGGAGTTGAGTGACCAGTGAGGGCAGAAGCTTTAGGGACAGCGGCTTCTTTCTGCCTAGCTCCCCAGTGCTTCCTGGGCCCAGTAACGTGGAAGCCAGACTGAGTGTCAGCCTTGTGCAGTTAGGAGGTGCCAGAGCAGAGGCGGGAGGACCTACCAGAGCCTGCAGTCACCACTGGATGAACTGTGAAGGCAGCCAACCAGGAAGTGGGCGTGTGAATAGTTTAGTGTCATATCAAACGAAATCTGGAGCAAAGTTCACCCGAGCATGTTCAATGGCTGGCTTCCTCGCCCTGCCTCTCCCAGCTAGGCTTGGATGGATGCCTTCTGCCAGCATGGCTGGAACTAAAGACACCCCACAGCCAAACTAAACACTCTGGCAGCAGAAACGAGGCAAGGTACTCTTCCTGGCCCACTGTAGGGTCAGAGCACTGACTGGGCTGATCGTCCTGCTGGGGAGCCCCGTAGCGTCCCTGTGAGTTCCACCCCTCTGCTCTGGGTCCGTGCACACTCTCCCAACCTCTCCTCCCCAAAGGCGATGAGCATGTCCACATACAGAGCCTTCACACAGTAGGTCAGCTCCCCACAGGCTGGCTCCCGGCCACCCTTGATGGTTGCAGGGCTGGCTAGGGACAGCAGTGCTAACTAGGGAGGATGGAACAGTGGGGAAATAGGGAGGAAGAAACCGTGCAAAGACAAACCGGCAATGGGCACAGAGAAGAGGCCGTTAAAGGCGGCGGGCAGGCTGGGAGCCAAGCACTGTCATCTTGGGACTGATGCCAGGATCAGCAAAGAGAAAGCAGGGACTGCCTTTGAGGTACTTTATGATGTGCAGCCTCTGACACTATGTTAGATCAGAGCAGAGGCTGCGGCTGCCACCCATGACCTGCCTGGTGCTGCAGAGTGGACGAGGGCATGCTAGGCTGGTACTCCACCCCAGCCCTCACTTTCCAAACTCAGTTATGTAGACGGGCAGGGTCTCCCACAGCCTTCCTCTCCCACAGCTGCTTCTCCTCTAGGCCCCCTCCCTTTTCTCCTCCTCTGAATCTGCACACTGCCACGTGTCCACCTTGCCAACGCACACAAAAAACCTGGCACTTCTCCGCTGCCCGCCCTACCTATCCTACATGCAAAAACCTGGTACTAGATTAGTCACCATGGTGACAAAGGGAGGAGGGAGAACCCCAGGTGGCGTACTGTCAACGGAGGGCAGTTCCAAGGTTTACCTCCCACAGGTGAACGGTGTCCTTGAACCTCCACACTGCCAGCCGTAATCTTGGTGGCAGGCCGGAGGCACAGGCAAACACTGCTTTCTTTACATAGCTCATTCCCACCGTGCTTGCTCTTCTAACACCCAGGGCAGAGAGCAAATGCACTTGAATGGCTATGGCCATGGGTACCACCGAGATGTGCCCGGATGTTCTGCTGGGCCTCAGCCTGGGCTACTCTCGTAGTCCCACCAGACCAAACTGTAACCAGTAACTGCCACTTTAAAGATGATAACACAAGGGGATATAATAATGCATTCAGGCATTGCCACTACACAGAATAAGTTGCATCCATCTCTACTAGGGACATGGCATCCCTACGAAGAGCTAGAACCCTCTGCAGAAGATCGCCACCACTGTCTGTGTAATAGTGACACTGGGCGCTTCCCGTCCACCTATCTCTTTAACAACCCGAGAGGGGCTGAACAAACCCCACCTGTCTCCCTGGAGACCCGGAGCCGCTGGCCGTTGCAGAAGGCACCCTGGCCCCTCCTGCCGGTGTACAGCCGCTCCTCCGTGCAGTGGTGAATCACTCCGAATTCCAGCTATGAGGGGCAGGAAGAAAGCGGATGCACGTCACTCCGTGACACAGAAGTAACAGTGGTCTAAAAATATAGGCTCCTCTTGGAGCTGGAACCAGTAGCATGACAACGGGACAGAAACTACCTTCTGAAAAGGGGTGGAGAAAGGCCAACTTCAAACTACACCTGAACATGAAAACAAGCCGTTTCTTAGACGAACACATTAACACTGGATTAATACTAATGGAACTATAGTAAAGTTATCATAATAAAGTACTGAAAAGTTTCAGTCTTTAAATCTTTAGAATGAGCTCTCTCTCTTCCCCTCTTCCCCTTCCTCTGGCAAAAAGGCTGTGACAAAAAACAAAAAACAAAACCCCAAAACACCCTTAAGTGTTCTCCAATTGCTGGTGTATGAGGAGCTGGGCTGGCATCCATAGAGCCAACAGAACCTGGAACCCATGGACATCCCCAGGGAGTGTGGCTACTGCCCACAGAGGGTCCCTATGCAGGCAGAATCAACAGTCACAATGTTAACAAAGCCTCCCAACGAGTAGATGCCAACGTGGAAGTGACCAGCTGTCTCTTTCCCTGCCCGATTTTCACCACCTGTGTGTGGTGTCGGGAGCCACATGTCCATCTTTAGGGAGGTCAGGATGGCTTAGCAGTCTTAGGTAGCCCTGAGGTAAGCTCAGCCCCCCAACAATGGGCATCCAGCTTAGAGAACAGGTTCATTTCTGGATGGGGACTTCCCAACAGTGTGTGGCTCTCTAGCAATACTTACCTGCCACCTCCACCCCCCATGACTCTGGCTACAGCATGATACCCAAATCTAGGCATCAGAATTGTGTGGGTCTTGGCCAGCCGTGATAAGGTCCCAAGATCAAGGGAAATGTCCTACGGGCAGAGGAAAGGGAGAGTTGCTTCCTAGGTTGGCCCATGACTGTGCTTTGTAACTAGCAACACACACAGGATAAAACAGCAGGGCTCTGCCGTGCCGAGTACCTATCTGACTTTTGTGGTCCCCGTCTACTTTCCCGGCAGCCCTGACTCCTGTTGCGCTAACCTGGTGGCTAGAAGAAAATTCATGCTCACTGGTCTCTGTGACAACACCGAACAGAGACACATATGGCTGTCAATTCCTTACCCAACTGGCAATAATAAAGTTTGTACTGATCTACACCAAAGCACTTTGACGTATGTGCTAACTCTTGTTCCCATGAGGGGAATGCATGCTGCTTTTGAAGATGGCAGTGCTATGCTATTCTCAAGGACGGCAGCTGAGGAAGGCACGAGCCCCAACTCTGCCTCTAACACCTACCTGCCTTCCCTTCAGGTCCCATGAACTGTGGCTCAGTTCATAAAGTCTCTGGGAACCCTGATAGGGCCACGTTCTCATACTAATAGCCAGGAGCTAAAGAAGAATAGAATATTGAGATTAAAAATGTCATCCAAAAATAGGAGCTCCCTTGTTTGTGACTAGATCACACGCTCTCGGGGTCAAATGGAGACGCATGCTGACCATCTGCTCAGAACATGGATTTCCACAGCAGCTATGACTAGACCACAGCAAAAAAGGAGCCAGCCCAGCCTGGGAGATAAGGCCCCAGCCAACACCCCTACAAAAATCCTTCTGGACTTCTTTACTTTCTTGGATAGGAAAAATACATACTTGGATGTACTAGTCACAGCTAAGGCACAAGTCAAAGAGCAATGCAGAGGCGGAGTCCAAACAAGGAGGGTCACATTACCTCCTGGTGAACTGCAAATCCGATGCTAACTGCCACAGTAGGGAATCTGCAAGGGAAGACAGACTGGGTTACACATAATGTAGGGACACTAGTTCTCAGTGGCTGTGTGGAGGCTCCCCTCCAGTACACAGGGACCTTTCTGCGCTCTTGGTTGGGTTTGACTTTCAAAATGACTTTCCAGCTTCACTCACTTGCTTTCAATATAAACAGACTTAGCAGGCTGTGCCGTAAGATAGCTAACTTAAATCAACAGCCGTGCTCTGGAAGCTGTGTTAAGACTGATAACAATTTAACAATGACCACATAATACTAATTAGGGATGATTTTAATAACCACACTTCTGGCTCTCAGCAACCCAAGCCAGTAGAGATTTTGAAAAAGGCCAGCCCCTATTTGAGAATGTATGTGGAGGACCCAGTAGATGACATCACAGACCCTGGACCGCAGCTACCACACAGATACAACCTTTCAGTAGTGCTAGCATCCCCCGTCCTGTCTTCTGCTTGAGCTCCCAGCAGGCAACAGCAGGGAGAGCCAGTGGTAGAAGGATAGTTTCGGGACTGTGGTTTTAGTTTCCTCAGTGTGTTGCTGGGCCTCAAAATAATCTCTCCTTTGTGTAACAGGGAAGGAAAGACCAAACACTGTTAACTCACAGGGAAAACACCAACCAAGGCCACGAGCAGAATCCTGTACAGAAACCTGAAGGCTGGGGCCAAGACTCCCTGTTTCCTAGGCAGGCTCCTCACAGCATTCCCTCCGCCGTGTTGGCTATGGGCCCAGCAGCTTTCTGATGGCTCAGATCACAGGCTGCAGCTGTGGCCTTCAGATCCTGGGGCTGCTAGGTCAATACTAGAGGCTGTTTCTCAGAGGACACTCTTTCCAGCCTGGTTCCCCCGAGGGATGCAGATCAGGAAGAACTAGAGATCCCAAGGTTACTAGAGCCATAGAAGACTTTAACATGAACATGTGGTCTTGAGCTGGACCGTGGTCAGGACATCGAATCCATGTTACGAGTACTTTGGATGACAAACCAGAAGACAGAGGTAGGAGCCCCATTTGGCAAAACATACTGAGAGAAGGAGTTATGCTTCAGTGAAGTGACAGCCTTGTGGGCAGCAGGTGGCACTACTCCACGGCATCAAAAGGGTCCCCTGTTCATGCACAACTGAGTTCTCAGGGTTAACAGTCACCACACAGTGGTCATGCTTGATGTGTCCTTGGCAGGTAAGCATAGCATGGAGGCTACCAAGGGCACCCCACACCTGGCTCTGCTGCCCTTCCTTATTCAACCACCCTGTGAGTGTGGGTCTGGGGGTGGGAAATGCTGGCAGCACAGAAAGTCTCCAGGGAATGGCAGGTTAAGATACCTGCTCTCTGTGGAAGCCACCTGTTGTACCTCTGGCTCTCGGCTCCTTCCACATAGCTGTGGACAAGCACACATTCAGCCTTACTCCCGTAAGCCCTGTCTGCAGTCATGGCGCTGGCTCCTCCGAGAGTGACTCTCAACTCTCATCGGCACATCCTGGCTCTGTACCTCAGCCCCAGGCTCCCTTCCCTAACTCCACCTCTTTTGTAGGGACAACTTCTCAAAGCAGCTGCTCTTCAATCCAAGTCAAGGTCTTAGAACTGTAAACAGTCTTCTAAATTCGTTTGTCTACAGACAATTACGTTTTCCACTTTTAAAGAACGGTGACATATTTAAGGGTAGGGAAAGCAGGTCTCAAACCTGCGATCCCATCTTGGCCTTTGGATTACAGGCCTGTACTAGCAAAAAATACTTTAAAAGGGGGGGGTCTCAATGTAGCTCAAGCTGGCCTTGAGCTCCTGATTCTCCTGTGTCCCTCCACCTCTCAAGTGTTGGGGTTACAGGTGCATGTCACCATAGAGACAGACAGACAGACAGACAGACAGACAGACAGACAGACAGACACACACACACACACACACACACACACACACACGACAGGGGACTTACTATATAGCCCTGGCTGGTCTGGAACTCACAAAGATCTACCTATTTCTGCCTCTAAGAACTGGAACTAAAGGTGTGTAACAACATGCTTAGCAGAATTTTTTTTTCCCCAGACAGTTTCTCTGTGGCTTTGGAGGCTGTCCTGGAACTAGCTCTTGTAGACCAGGCTGGTCTCACACTCACAGAGATCTGCCACCTGAGTGCTGATGGAAAGTCTTTTTTTCCCTCCAAGACAGGGTTTCTCTGTGTAACAGTCCTGACAGTTCTGGAACTCGCTTTGTAGACCAGGTTGGTCTTGAACTCACTGAGATGCCTCTGCCTCAAGTGCTGGGATTAAAAGTGTGTGCCACCATTGCTTGGCAGGAAAACCTTTTTAAAATGTCAAGATTTGGTTTTCTTTTACAAGAGCAGACACGTGTTACATATATTGAACAGAAAACCTAGAGGCCACATGGAGCCCCGAGCCTGCAAGCTCCCAGGTCCTCCTCACCTGTGCACGAAGTTACAGGTGCCGTCGATGGGGTCGATGATCCAGGTTGGGCTGTGGGTAAGCACGCACTTGGCCCCGGAGGCTGTGGCCTCTTCTGCAATGAACCTGCTGAGGCAGGGGGCTCAGCCTGAGTCAATGTCCAACATGCAGCAGAAGAGTGTGTAGCCCCAGTACAACCCCCACCCCAAACCAGAGTGACTTTCACTGTGGCACACAAGGAAACGGAACAGGTCAGGCAGAGATGCGGGAGTGCAGAACGCCTGAAGGAGCGCAGAGGCAAGCCAAACTTGGCTCCCATTTCAGCAGCAGAGGCCAAGAGGTCATGCTGGCATGCAGAGCAGAACCCGGGCCATGGAAGAATAGCTGTCACCTACATTTTGCTTCACCACAGACGACCCTCTACCCTCCCCTTCCTGGCAGGAAAGGGCTTTTCCTATGGCAAGGACCCTGCTTTATGTTCTGATTGACTTATGCATTCAGCAGATATTGCTGTGTGCTGGGTACACACAGGGCACCAGATTACAGTGACCTCAAGAGGGCAGAAGGCAGTAGGGACACTGAGCAGCTGCTCAAGCCGCCATCCTCTTCCCCAGCTGGAGAGACCTCACTATCTTGGATGCATCACTCAAGAGGATAGGGATGACCACCGGACTTGTGTCAGTGACATGAGACCATAAAGAAAGAGAGGAACAGACCAAAACACAGCATCAAACAGACAGCTAGTTCTCTTAAGAGATTAGCAAACTGACAGGTCCCTGTCCAAACATACATAGGAAATGCAAATTAGTAAAATCAGAGATGAAAAAGTTTTTTTTTAACAAACTCCAGTAAAATTCAGGAGCTCACAGAATACTCCCCCTTTAGATCTAAAAGAAATACATAAATACATAAATTTTCTAATTATAAACTACCAGAAGATACAAATGATGTACTCAGGCTGTAACAAGCAATGAGATGGAGGCAGTAACTTAAAAGTCCTTCCACAAATAAAAGCCCAGGATCAGATGGCTCCACTACTGAATCCTACTAACCCTTGAAGGAAATCAATACTTCTCAACTGTTCTACAGAGCAGAGAGGACACCACCAAACTCACTCAAGTCAGTACCGACTAAATAATTAAATGCAGCATTATCTAAATAATACCCAAACTGGATAAAGACTGAACAAACAAAACAAGATGCAAAAATTAACAACAAAGTACTTGCAAATGATTCAGGACCATATTAACAAGATCCTACATCACAATCAAGCTGATTTCTTCCTAAAGATACCAAGTTGGTTCAACGCTATAAGTACTCCATATAACCAGATTTCAGGATAGACGTGTAATTCATCATACAGAAAGACTTAAGGATACTATCTCAATAGATGCAAAAAGGGCATTTGACAAAGCTCACTTTTAACATGACTTCATCATAAGTCCTGAAGAACTAGGACTAGACAACACATACATAAAAGTATATATGACAAAACAATAGGCAGAGTTACATTCAATACTGAAAACTGAGATTTTCTTCTAAAACCCAGAACAAGACAAAGAAGGAGCCCCCACTCTCTCCATTCTTACTCAATGAAGTGTTCAGAGTCATAGGTTGAGCAACAAGACAAGGGAAAGATACAAAGGTTAAAAACGGGAAAGAAGAAATCAAAGTAACTATCTGTAGATGATATGAGTCTACTCAGAAATGACTCTGTGGACTCCAGCAGAAAGTTTCTGGATCCAATAAACTCTGTGGTGGTTTGAATGAGAATGGTCCCCAGAGGTGCATATAATTGAACACTTAATCATCAGGGAGTGGCACTACTTAGAAGGATTGGGAGGTGTGGCCTTGTTGGAGGAGGTATGTCACTGGGGGTGGGCTTTGCGATTCCAGAGGCTCAAGACAGGCTCAGGGTCTCTTCTGTTGCCTATGCATCCATATGTGGATCTCTCAGCTACTTCTCCAACACTAACTGTGCCTGCTTACATCCTGCCATGCTAATAGACTACACCTCTGAAACTGTAAGCCAGCCCCAATTAAATGCTCTCTTTTATAGGAGCTGCCATGGTCATGATGTCTCTTTGCAGCTGCTTCTTTGATGTAACACTTTTTCTTCTTAGCAAGTAAAGCAAACTACATGATAAGTTCTTTTCCTGTTGCTCTTGAATTACAAGTAGACTTTAAAAAGCTAAAACTGGGGGCTGGGGGTTTAGCTCAGTGGCTGAAAACTTGTGTAGCATGCTCAGGCCATGGGTTCAACTTGATGCACCTCCCCAAAGAGAACACTGAAAAGCAGTAAAAGAATGTAGATATTTCAACAAAAACTTGTTCTTTAATTCATGCATTTATCCACAGGAAAAAAAAAAATAGGTGACGCCTATCATGTCCCAAATAGACTCTGAGGAGACTACTGTATGTATTTTTGTCACCCATGGCCACAAAGATACAGAGCCAAAGTAGAATAATCAACACCCAGAACTCCAGGAACCACCATGCCAGTTTTAGAAGTTCAGAATCTTTGTGAGATGTCTCATGAGGAAGGAAAGGGAGGCCCAGAATCCAAGGCCCTGGTCTTCAAGATCTGTCCTGCAGAAACCAGGGGCCAGGAAGGGAGGGCTGCTCTATAGTCCTTACTCTTCTAGAGTTACATGCACAATGATCAGTAAATACTTTAGTTATCCTGAAGAAAGGATGAATGGCTTGTAGTCAGTCCTCTATAGACAGCCCAAGAAGATGAAGAACTCTGGCACCCTTGTGAAGGAAGGCCTGTGTCTCACCACTGTCCCCAGCAAAGGATGTCTGTGTTACTGAACACTGGGAGCGGACTGAGTCCTACACAGGTGATTTTACCCTGTGCTCTTAAGATATGTCCCTGGGTGGCCAGAGCGGCACCACTGTGGTTTTGAGTTTCAGATGCAGGGCATACTTTTACAGTGCCCTCTGGAGTCAGAGGCAGGAAGTACTTCTGAGCATGTGCTGTTGGAAGCAGAACCTCCGATACAGATCTATGCACACACACAAAGTTTTACAAAACTGAAAGAAATGTTAAGTTTGAACAGATATTTTCTGTGAGTAGATAAAGTTTCCCTGAATCTAAAAGTTTATTCAATGAAAAACCCAGGGCCTGGGTGGGCTATCTCCTTACAATGTTTTCGCCAGGGAGGTCCCTGAAGCCCCCAAAACAACACAGGCTACTCACTGCTGCTGGCTGCCCACCAGAACTAGATGGCAAGCCCCTACGGCTGAAGACAGCGCATGCTTTGGTTGAAGAAGGGAAAACAAGCTGGAACTGAGCTGGAAGCTGCCTCCCCTAACTAGTCTTCATAGCACTGGGAGGCGCCTCCCTTAACTAGTCTTCATAGCACTGGAAGCTGCCTCCCTTAACTAGTCTTCATAGCACTGGGAGGTGCCTCCCTTAACTAGTCTTCATAGCACTGGGAGGTGCCTCCCTTAACTAGTCTCCATAGCACTGGGAGGTGCTGTGAAGGCCTCGGAGGGGACAAATGACACCAAAGATCTTGTTCTGCTGTGGACATTGTGTGTGCATTACCAACCTGCCAGACAAGATAAGCCCACTTTCCAACTGGACTTGTGGCCCATTCCATAGAACAAAAGGGTATCCCGTATATGGTATCAGGGAAAGTCTGTGGCTGGTGACATCACAGAGCCTAGTAGAGAAGTTACTATTGTTTTGCTAAATGGGCATGATATGCCTTGTCGAACTACCTTTTCAAATTTCCGTTTAAGTCCACAGATCAGTGCTAATGTCGACTTTGAGCAGAGAAACTTCTTTCTGTAGTGGGGACAGTTACTGCAGAGACTGGCCTAAGTGCTGAGAGTACATGCTTAGCCCTAAATGAGGTTCACCACCCACTCCAAGGCTCGGGGAACACAGAGGAGGAGGGAGCAGAAAGAATCGAAAGGCCAGAGGAAAGGGCGGAGTGTTGTGCAATGTCATCTTCTAGGAAGGACCTGGCTGTTACTCTCTACCTCTTAGCAGCTATAATCACCTGCATATCATTGGGCCTGTCAACTATCGATCATGGCACCAGAGGAGCTCCTGAGACTCCGCCCCTTCCTGAAGATCTACAGGTAGTTAACGGTTGCTAGGGAAAGAGGCATTTCCTTTGATGATGTAGAGATGCCTGGGCTTTGGTAAACAGCCCCTCACCCTGTAGTAACTCTTGCAAAACTCATTGGTTCAGAGAGAGGGAAGGGGGGATGGACAGACAGACAGACACATAGAAAGAGGAGGACCAGGACACTAGCTGGAAAGAGAAGCACTACAAGGGGACAAGAGAGGGTAATGAGAAGTGAATAAGATCAAAATATATTACATACATATATGAGAAAATGTTATAATGAAGCCCATTGTTATATACATGCTAGTGAAAAACTAAAACAAACAAACCAAAAACAAAAACAAAACCCAAAAGTTCTCATGTCTGGAAAAGGAACTCTATTTTAAAGATAAGTTCAATGTGAAGTAAATGAAGTAAATGTGAAGTAAATGACTAGTACAATGACTTTTAATATACGTTTAAAAGTGGAGGTTCTTCCATATCCCTAGAGACATAAGGACTGGATGGTTGTCAGGATAACAGTGAAGAGAACCGAAGCAATGTTTTCTTCCCTTAAAATGGAGGGACCAGGCTTGGCCTTGGCAGCTTGGGGTTTCCCGCCTGTCCCCCAGTGACAGGCGGCAGTGCTTCTCAGCTGAAGAGAGCTCTCACCTGTGCGAAGGAAACCGCTTTTGCAACTCAGAAACGATTAGGTCTTCTACGCGGTGATCTGTCTCGGTCACAAGATCTGCAGCGGAGGTTTTTGTCGAGACACGCTTTTCTTCAGTGAGGGCTTTTCTGATGATCTGAAACGAAAGCGCGGGAGACAGTGAGGACTGTGGGCCTCCTCCGTCCCCGTCCCCAGCCCCCAATTCCTCCAGGGCTGCCTGGCTTTGGCCAGGGCCTGTAGTCACCCCCTCCGCCTTCACTGACTCCTCATATGCCTGGCTCTCAGGGCTTCTAGGAACCATAATCACCAGCCCTGACTCCATTCCTGAGACAGACTCCCAACCTGAGATTCTACATTCAAGTTCCAACTGAAACTCCACCTTTGAGACAAGTTTTCTCTGGAAGGAAAGGTTCTGATAAAGTCTGGAGCATCATCCATGGGAATGCCCCAAAATAAGAAGGCATGTCACAGGCTTGTCTCCTAGAATTCTGTGGTTTCGAATTTGTAACTTTGTGTGTAAAAAGTTTCCTCTAATTCACTTTTCTGAGTCCTACGAATGATGGGGGATGTCCTTCTGTATATGTGTTTTTCTTATTGGTTGATGAATAAAACTGTTTGGCCAGTAGAGGCAGGAAGATAGGCGGGGCTAGGAGACAAGAGAATGCTGAGGAGAGAGGCAGAGAGGCACCACGAGGAGATAGCATATAGCGGAGGAAAGAGTAACACATCCGGACTCTTTTCCGGTAAGGTAAGACCATGTGGAAATACTCAGATTAATAGAAATGGGTTAATAATTAAGGCAGAGCTAGCCAGTAAGAAGCCCTAGCTATGGGCCAACAGTTTAATAATTAATATAGCGTCTGTGTGCTTATCTGGGGCCGAAGCGGCAGTGGGATGGGGTGGGAAAGAAACTCCAGCAACACACAAACATGTGGTGTGCCTGTGAATGCAGACTAAAGGTCCCCACGAGAGCCCAACTGTATCATAGGAACCCAGGCTGGCTCTTGTGGCTGTGTGCAGCACAGCACCAGTCACCTATAGGAGCACATCAAAGATACTGGAGGTTGCTAAGGGACCACAAAAGCAGGCTCTACAGCTGGGCAAGCTGCCAGTAACATCTGTTCTGAATGCACTATCTGTAAGGGTAAGGCCTGGTTTGGCACCATTTCTGCTGGCCTAGTGTAGTCCTAGGAACCTCTAGGGACCCAAACAGGAAATCAGAGCAGTCAATCCATTGCTGTGTGCTTCAGGGGGATCAATCCCAGCTTGTTAACGAAAATGCCACCTCCAGGTCTATATGGGGCTGTTTTCCCCAAGTCTGTCTAAAAACTGGATAAAAGTGGTGAAATCAGGAAACCTAAACAGACCTGCCCTAATCCCTCCAGAACTAGCTACCTCCCCAAATCATGTATTTCACTCAAAAGTGCTGTCAGGGACTGGCAAGTTTGCTCAAGGGGTAAAGTGCCAGCCACACAACCCTGAAGACTTGAGTCCAATCTCCAGCATCTTCGCAAAGGTGGAAGGAGAAAAGTGAGACACAAAGTTTTCCTTTGGTCTCCACATGTGCACCATGGAAAATATATATGGTTCCCCCATACACAAATACATAAGAAATCAATAAAAAGTACTACCCAGACTGGCTACTCAGACTTGACCCCCTTTGCCTATCTGTGATACTTAGCCTATACCATCCAACAATCACTAACTACCTGGCCCACACTATGTACTAATGATGGCAAGGTGGAGAGGTCTTCCCTGTGGAAGAGAGTAGTAAACAGAATCTTTTATATTACATTTCACTTCTGTGTTTGTGTGTGTGTCTGTCTGGTCCTCTGTGTGGGCACACACGAGTAACAGTGTGCTGGGAGGTTAGAGGAAAATGCGCAGGAGTTGGCATGTCCCAGATATCAAACTCCAGTCCTCAGACTTGGTGGCAGGTACCTTTACCCGCTGACTCACCTATCTGGCCCACAAATGGAATCTTAGAGAACAAACAGAAACATGACATCCAGTGGTCCCTACTCTCTGCCTCAGTGTCCTTCCCATAACTGACCCATCCCATAATGAGCCTACCAAGGTGATGCTGTTTTTTAATCTGGGTGGCAAAAATAACAGATATGTATGACAGAAGATTTGAAATGTGATGAGTGATACAAAAATCCAAGAGGCCACCTACAGTCCATTATCGTCAGCTCGCCACTGTTCACACCCTGCCAGCATCTATCCTGCACTGCAGGGCTTCCTGTCCAGGACTTGCAATATCCTGCCTATTACTACCATGCTAATTCTCTTACAACACCAATTTGCACATAGCATCGCTCACCAAACCAACCTCCACAAGTACTCATAAACTGAACACTCTTCAATGACTAGCTCCCACAGAACCTGACATCTGCCAGGAATCCTAAATTCTGGGCCAGTCTAGGCAGGCCACTTGACACTGTGTGTATGTCTTAAACAGGGAGGGAGGCTCAGCGTGTGGGTGCAGGTATTGTTTCTGGGTAATGTATACGTTGTGGTGGGGAAGGCAGGGGAAAGTAAGAACAAGGGAAAGAGACCCATCTTAAGAGTATAACTAAGTGCCGGGCGTTGGTGGCACACGCCTTTAATCCCAGCACTCGGGAGGCAGAGGCAGGCGGATCACTGTGAGTTCGAGACCAGCCTGGTCTGCCGAGCGAGTTCCAGGACAGCCTCCAAAGCCACAGAGAAACCCTGTCTCGAAAAACCAAAAAAAAAAAAAAAAAAAAAAAAAGAGTATAACTAAGCAGGGGCGTAGTGGGCGCACACCTTTAATCCCAGTTTGAGGCCAGCCTGGTCTACAATGTGCGTTCCAGGACAGCCAAGGATATGCAGGGAAACCCTGTCTCGAAAAAGAGTCTAACAGGACCACCCACCAGAACTTCTGGGATCTTGGTAGGTGGTGTGTGTGGTGTATGTGGTGTGTGTGTGTGTGTGTGTGTGTGTGTGTGTGTGTGTGTGTGTGTGTGTGTGTGTGTGTGTAGATTATCTCCATTCAGAACCAGGGCATCCTGGGGCCTACTTAAGAGGAAGCAGCCATGAAACCAGTCTGTAGCCCAATGTGGCTTCCATTTAGAAGCTGGACTGAGAATTTAAGACAAATCTCTGAAAACTCCCCAAAGGCTTCCTACTGCTGCCAGAAGTACCCCCAAATGGCCAGACCCTTGCCAGCTGTCACCTCACCTTCCACAGGCTACCATACTAAGTTGCTGTCCTCCATCTGCCTCCGACTCCCCAGCTGAGAGCAGAATGGTAGCAGAATGTAATGTCCCTATCCAGGGCCTTTACAGTCTGGTCCTCTGGCTGCCCCTCCTCCCCACCTGTGGCTGTCTTGTAAGTGTAGTTGGCTGCGTTGCTCTCATCGAAACATGAGCTCCGTGACAGCAGAGGTTCCCTGACATTTTGTTCAGCTGCTTGTTTTCCCCTCCAGTACAGGGCTGTAGGAACGAAAGGCACATGGACCGCTGGAGTGGTTCCTACCACGTTCCTTCCAACAGGACCACTGACGCCTGTTTAAACGCCGGCCACCTCAGTGTCTGTTCTCTTGGCTCTTTTTCTGGTTGTGCTAACCAAGGTTCCAATGTGCCCAGAGCCCGCTATCCTCTGGGCCTTCCTAAAACATGGCCTCATCTACTATCCTGTTTTAAAAGCCAAGCTCAATCTGCCTTGGGTGCACTCGCACCATAACCAGCCAGCAGTACCTCCACAGCCACGCACCCCCCCCCCATAAAGCGCAGATGGCCCTCACTACCCTGGATGGTCAAGGTCCTGAGGGAGGAGTGGGGACTTGGCCTTAGGCATCTATCTTCTTCTTAGGAATAGAGCACCCATGCTTCACCAGGAAGGCCCAGAGCTGCCTTCAAAGATTACCCCGACTTCCCTCTTGTGCTGCTGGGCTTGGGAAGCTCTGCTTAGAGGATGTGTATGGAGACTCCTCTGCAACACAGAGCCATATCTTCAAAAGACACTGTCCTTCCTTTCAGGAGTTTGTGATCTTCACTAATGACAGCCAGGGCAGTCACAAGAAGAGGTCCTGGGCACAGGAGAAAGAACCTGGGCTCCTGGGGGTTCCACAAGCAGAGGCCCTCTCTGGGCCATATACTAACTGCACTTTGGCAAGAGCCCTGTCTCTCCTGTCTCTCCTCCTCGTTCCCATGCTATCCTTCTATGAGGCTTTCTGTGCCAGACCGTCCGTTTGTGGTGGTTTGAATAAGAAAGGACCCAATAGGCTCAAGGCTTGAATGCTTGGTCACCAAGGAGCAAACCACTTGAAAAGACTGCAAGGGTTAGGCGGTATGGCCTTGTTGGAGTAGGTGGGTTTTGAAAACCCCTGCCAGGTCTAGTGTTTTTCTCTTTCTCCTCTCCCCGTCCACCCCTGCCTGTGCACCAGGATTTAGCTCTCAGCTACCTTTCCAGTGCCATGCATGCTGCCATGCAGAGTGCCATGATAATGAACTAAGCCTCTGAAACTGTAAGCAAGCTGTCGATTAAATGCTTTCTTTCTTTAAGAGTTGACTTGGTCATGGTGTCTGCCCCAGCAAGTGTTTTCTATTGCTGCAGAGACACCATGACCACAGCAACTCTATTTTATTGGTTTTTCGAGACAGAGTTTTTCTATGTAACAGCTCTGGCTAACTTGGAACTTGTTTTGTAAACCCGGCTGGCCTCAAACTCACGGAGATCCACCAGTCTCTGCCTCCCAGGTGCTGGGGTTGAAGGCGTGCACCGTCGCTGCCCTGCATGACCACAGCAACTCTTATTAAAGGAAAACATTTTAATCATTCTTCCAGCAACAAGTGTACTGTTATTTTCAAAGCCCTTTTCTATGGCTCTTTCCCCTTCATTCTTAAGAGATTTTAATCATTCTACCAGCAACAAGTTAGTGTGTGATTAAAAAATCGTTTCTACAGTCACTATCTACAGCACGAGCTTCAGAGCCTCCTGGCACGACTTTCTCCCCTCCCCGGAGAGCCCGCGGTTAACGTTTAATATATGAACTGTGGACCTAAGTCACTGAAGCCTGAATTCCAAACTCAAAAAAGAAAGGTATGCATCTCCTTTAGTGTCAGACAACCTAAGCCAGGTGACGATTCTAGCCAAGTGTGTGTTTCTCTTTCT